TGGAAATTGCAATACCGACAGACAGCAAAAGAGAAGAGAAAGAACTGGAGAAAATCACAAGATACAAAGACCTGCAAATAGAAGTCGAACGACTGTGGCAAAAGAAAGCAAAGATGGTGCCAATAGTAATAAGCACCTTGGGTCCAATCCCAAAACATCTGGAGCACCCCTTGAAGACCATCAGGATTGACAAAATCACCATCAGTCAATTGCAAAAGGCAGCTTTATCTGGAAGAGCTTATATCCTGCGATGATACCTTTAACGCCATCGAACAACATCTGCCCACCCCAGGTCCTTGGGAAGGACTTGATAGGTGGACAAAAATGCCAATCCAGTCTAAACTTCTGGCTGATGGTGCGACCAACCACAACAATTTAAAAAGCTAAAAAAAGTTAGTCCCCTTGGAGCTCTGTTGCAGAAGAACACCGGACCCTGAACGCTCCAGATTCTAACAGCTTTCCTTCAGCTCTAAGCTGAAAATTGCATTCTCCTAAAGTCAAGTTATATGACTCGAATAAATTAGGTGTCAATGAATTGCAACAATGCAGTTCCTAATATCTGGCTGCTTATGGCCCTGGGGGTGTGTAGCAGAGGCTACTGGGTCTAAAAAGGATTTGCTTTTGGTCTGAAACAAGCAGCCTTCGCAAGCCATCTTCGCATTAACGCCAGTCTGCCCAGGTTCAAAGGTTACACCACAAACACAAAGGCACATCCTTGAATCCATCTGGCAGCTGGGCCGGAGGAGAAGAAAGGAGGAGGCCCACCAGAGTCCAAGAGTCGCTGCCGTTTACTCTGGTCAACTAAATCACTCAGTGAGACATCTCAAGGCGGTCCAGAGCGTGCAGCCAAGAAAACCCAGCCATATTTCATGTGCACACCGCAGGACATTCTTGGAAGGACGGGGTGGTATCAAGGTTAAAAGGGGTGCAATAAATAACTCTGTAATAAATAAAACCCCTGTCGTCTACTGAAAAGCTGTCAGAAAAAGCTCTTGGCTGCTACTTTAGGAAAGGCTGGAGATAGAGGCCAGACAGAGAGCCCTGGCAGATGCGTTTGGGTGAGTTCATTTGAAGGATTATGCCCAGGGAATGTCAGTGCATATTCCTAAATATCTGTCGCGCTTGCAGGAAACAAATGTAACTTAGGAAACCGTGATTAGGCAACTCTTTGGGAGGGAGATGCATCCCTGGACCGTTTTTAGGTTAGCGCAGAGTTCGAAAGCTGATGAAGCTTTCTAACAGTTGGGAATGGCTCCTACTGTGCAGTTCAGTGGTTTCCCAGAAAACATCCTCGTCCAACCGTGTCACCACCAAAGCAATAACTTTCCTGGAATCCGTAACCTTCTATTTCCTGATAGGTCACCTCTCTCCTATGAAGTACATTTTGTTTATAACCAAGAACATTGTTTCTAGTTTTTGGAACCACTGAGCATGGTATCCTGCTGGACCATCTGCAAACGTTGTGGGTTGGAGGCACCTTTTTATGGTGATTCTGCTCCTACCTGAATGCGCCCGTGTTGGGAGACCATAGGGCTTGCTCCTCTCTCTTATGATTTTTAACATCTATATAGATGTTTGGAGCGAGGTATCGTCAGTAAATAATGCTACTCAACTTTGTATCTGCACCATCCCAGGCCGATGCAGACATCCTGAAGTTAGGTCTGGGGCTGGGTGGGACTGGGTAGGGAGAAGTAAACTTAGCTAAAACCCTAAGAAGATGGAGGTACAAAATATCTAGGATCTCCTGAAGCACTGGTACCAGTGTTGGCTTTAGATAGTCACACTTCCCCTGAAAGAGCGGGCCCGTGACACAAGGATTCCTG